AACGAAAACGTCAAGGAAAACCTGAAATAACAATTGTCGGGTCAGGCGGCAGCACGGCGTGTAATGTTGATGTTTAAATAATGTTAATGTAATGTTTATTTATTAGGCTTAAGTATGTACAAGTAGCTTAGTTGATCGCAAGCCGACTCTCTCTCGGCCGCTCGATTTACTAGCTTTCTTTTGAGAGTTTTAGCTCCGCAATGTCTGGGTCGGGCCGCCCTCTCCATTATCGAGAGCTTCAGCTTAGCAGTGACTAGTCGTCCCTGCATGCACCACAAGCTGGTCTATCGTCTGATCATCCGGCTTTATCTGCATGCAGGAATGAAGATTTTTAACATTTTAAATTAAATATAAATTCGTTTTATTTTTCTGTCATTGAAAACTCTCAATGACCAAACAACAATCCTAGTTCGTTTTGAACACCATTTAGCAGAGTCGCACAGCCGCAATGGCGATATTGAAATTAAAATAATGTCCTATGTGCGAATGCCATTGGCACCATTTCATAGCAATCCATTGGAAGTATGGGAGGGTATGAAAAATACATATTCGAATTTGCATACTGTTGCTTTACAATTCCTACCAGTAGTGGGATCAACGGTCCCCTCTAAACGAGTCTTTTCAGCTGCCTCTAATGTGTTAACACGAAAAATATATAGGATAACCCAGATCGGCTTAGCCTTTTTTTATTTTTGAAAAGCGTCTACAAAAAATATTATTTCTATTGCAGTTCCTTTTTCTCACCTGATATTGGCCGACCCACAGGGAAAATTAAACAGAAACTCTCAGTTGCACTTGAAACTCGCACTTGTTTGGTTGCAACTAGTTTCATAAATTCACTTTAATTCAAATATAAAGATTGCGGAACACGTGTAATTAGATATTTCCACGTGTTTTACTCTTAAAAAGGTGAAATCTTAGGTCAATCCGCTTGAGTCAAAGAACGATTTGAAAGTGAAACTGGGCTTATCTTTGCAACGAAAACGAACCTACTTGCACATGCCAGGGAGCTTTAACGGTTCTAAAAAAAAAAGCATAGGAAAGAAGGGGACGGCAAGTGTGCACTTTTGGAGACTACTGCAATCTGCACAATGGGACACATCTGAAATTGTTTGTCTTAAAATTTGCTCGTGAAAATCACCCTCACAATACTTAAAGAATATACAATAAAAAAAATCGATTTCATATATCACAACTGTATATAACCCCTTAAAGAACCAAAATATTGAAGGAAAATATTGAAGGAAGGAGAGTTGGAGTCGAAAAAGACGGCAAGTGTAGGTGGCCGATCGATTGAAAGGGCAAGCTTGCCAAGCTTGGTCTAAGTTTCACGGCAGACCCCAGACCCTGACAAATTCCATATAGTATATATATACTATATGTATATATAGTATATATACTATAAAATCTACTTCGGGGGTAGCCTAGATGGATAGTGCGTGGTCCTTATTCATGGGGTACTGGGTTCGACTTCATTAGCGGGCGGTTGTTTCGATTTTGATATAGTTTTATGATTCTTTTTATATTTACTTTTATTTTTTTATTTATTTTTTTTTTACTTTTAATTTTTACGTTATATTCTTGATCAGCATCAACAGCCAATTCGATATAGCTATTCCCGTCTGTCCGTATGCACGCGTGGATCTGGGAGTCTTTATAAGATAGAGCTATAGGATTTGGCATGAAGACTCTATAATGCCCATGCAGTTTAAGTTCGATTCAAATTTTTGCCACGCCCCCTTCCGTCCCATAAATTGCCAAATTCTATAGTGCCAGTATAGAAGCAAAGATTATAAAGTACATAGATGGGACATCTCATACAAAGAAAAATTTTCTATGGCGGGTTCCATTGCTCGACAAGTTAAATTTGAGAAATTTTTCGCGAGACAACGAATAAGGAATAGCCGAGTGGTAGAGTGCTTGGCTGGTGTGCAAAGTAAAATGAGTTCAAACCATTCTCGGGACATCCGTTTTTTTTAATTTTAAATCTATTTATATTATATTTTTATTCTTTTAATGTTTTTTCCTAAATTTATAATCCAATAAAAAAAAATACAAAATTGTAAAATCACCTTAACATCGTCTCAGTTCGTAGTGGAACCCGCTGTAAAAATGTCTATAAGTGCGGGTTTTCATTTTTTCCGTCGTGGAACCCGCTGTAATAATGAAAACATTTGAGAGAGGGTTCCACGACAAACGGCTGGCAGATGAGAGAGGGAAAGAGAGAATTCTATTTTTAGATCGTAACATCTTTGGAACGATGAAAGTTTGAAACGTTGTAATCGAACCAATGTAAGAGTAAAGAGATCAGAAATATCTTTTACTATCCTTACTCGTCAACTCTGTTTTTGGTATAGATTCTAGCGCCTCCTTTAACACCAATTTTAAGTATCATAAAATCTACTTCGGGGGTAGCCTAGATGGATAGTGCGTGGTCCTTATTCATGGGGTACTGGGTTCGACTTCATTAGCGGGCGGTTGTTTCGATTTTGATATAGTTTTATGATTCTTTTTATATTTACTTTTATTTTTTTATTTATTTTTTTTTTACTTTTAATTTTTACGTTATTTTTATTATTTTTAATTGCATTCTATTACAATTGTTGTAAAAATAAGTGACGGACGTGTGGGATAACAAAATGCCGGAAGGACTCCCTTGAAATTTTATTAGCATGTTATTAGCGGGTCATAATGAAGATTAAAACATTTTTACAATTGTAAAATTAAAAAAAAATATTATAATAAGGGAAAAATAAAAAAAAATAAATATAAAAGAACGAAAAAGTTCAAAGTCCTTACGAGGATTTGAACACAGAAAAATTTCACATAGAGTAACTACTCTATGCATTACGCTACCATTCTGTCTCAATCTGCGGCGTTCAAAAATACTATTTTTTCTACCAACTACCACATCGGCGCATCGAAAACAGAAACGAGAAATTGAAATTGAAATTTGGAAGCCAAAACATTTTTACTTCGTCGTGCGAGCAGTCACACATACACACATAGGTTCACATTTTTGTTGACGGATACATGAAAGAGTTCTAAAAATAGAATCGTATGCATGTGTGTTCCCCCCTCACCAACAAGCTCGACGCAAAAAGTTGACCGTTTTTGGCCCTGATGTCCCATCTATGTACTTTATAATCTTTGATAGAAGTATAGGATTTTTTAAAAACTTTTTTTTTGATGCCACACTATTTCTATTTATATCTGAAAAACCAATTTAAAAAAAAAAAAAAAACTTGTCAGATTTTTAAAACAGATAACATTACACATACGGTAACACGATCCCGGAAAATATGACAAAAATGATTATAACAACAAAATCAGCAAAATAACCAATTACATACCCATCAAAGGTAAAGGTAAAGGCAAAGGTAAAACAACGACATTAATAATAAATCAACAACGCCACTTGCACAACACACCAAGTGCAACGGAAACGGAAACAACAACAAAAGTAGCGATGGGAACGACGGAGCAGCGCTGCTTGTAGAGCCACAAGCCAAGGTCTTTTCAGTATAAATTGTACCTAAACTTAAATAAGTTCCTAATCGAATTTAAATCAATAAAGTTTGGCTTCGCTCCCAAGAATTACATTTTTGTTTAACTCAACTAAATATATACAATTTCATATAATATATAATATCCATAATTTAGAAAACCAGCTATCTTGGAAAGACCTATACATATACATAAGAACCAGTATGTTAGTTAATTTAGGGGTAAGTCGTTGATGAACAGTGCGAAAAGCAAGGGTCCAAGATGGCTTACTTGAGGAACAACAGATGTAACAACAACTATGCTCAAATAAACGTGTTTCAAAAAGCACTTTGGGTTCTTCCAGCTAAGTAGCTCATCATCCAATTGAGGAGATCAGTGGGGAAACCCAAACGACTGAGTTTACCTAAAAGGAGGAAGTGGTTAACAGAGTCAACTGCGTTACTAAAGTCAGTGTTTGTAATCCTTCGGAATCCGATCATGACAAAAAAAAGTTAGCTTCAACAAGGTAGGAAAGCAACGCTTCATGAAACCATTGTGGCAAAAAGAAATTATTTAACTACAAAGGTGTTGAAAATGTAGAGTAATTAATTTTTCAAAAAGACTTGGAATGGCTGACAATTTAGAAATGTCTCTTAAAAAAAAAAAAATTATCAGAACACCTAAGTTACGGCATTTCCAATCAATCAGTTAGATGGCAAGTATACAGTCGGACGATCCCGGCCGTTCGGACTTATATACTACTTTGAGGGGTCGGAGATGTATGGGGTCACTGCGTTGCACACTTTTGACCAAAATTATAAAACCTTAGCAAGGGTATAAAAAGGTTGTAAATTGATGTGAGACACCGGCTTAAGGGTTGTGCAAGTGCCAGCAGGACAAGAAAAATGACAGAACGGCGAAGTGGCGGAAAAACTAATTTGCAACAATGAAATAAGTCCAGCTGTGCGGTTTAAGAAAGTCAGTGCAGGGCAGTGCGAGTGGCAGCACTTGTTTAGTTTGCTTGGACTACTGCTCCTTGGCTTCAGATGTTAGATTTAACTTGCCTGTTTAGAAAAAAATTTAAGACGATTGAAAAACAAGACAGTTTTTGATATTACTGTGTGTAATAGGTTTATATTTTAGATCAGTGGTAGGCACCCCAATACATTGATATGATTTTAAAGCATCAGTATTAGTAACGAATAGCAGAAAGTAGGCTGTGAGCATGACGCTTTACACATTTATACTGTGTGTGTGTGGCAGAGCTCGGGCAGAGAAATTTCCTATGCCCTCGGTATAGGGCCGTGCCGACCACTGTTTTAGAGGATATTCTTGTTATAAGACCAGCCATAAGTTGTTACTAGAAAGTAACAAATTAAATGAAATTAAAAATTCTCTAGTCCCATTTAGGAATAAATGGATTTCGAATAAAAACAGGATTAGTAACCACGATAATTTGTTTATATCACATCTAAAAAAATTTAATTTTTTTTAAAGACAAAGATAGAACTTACCTCTATTTTGCGTACAAACTGATTCAAATCCATATACAAAGTAACAAAATAACAAAATGGAGAAAAAAATTTGCAAAAGCAAACTTATCCTTAGAAATTTAGGCATGGTGGTCAAAAACATTCGTCTGAAATTACATTTTTTGTTTTAATAAAAAACAAGAAGGGAAAACTAACTTCGGGCGTAGCCGAAGTTGATATACCCTTGCAGTTAAAACCGAATATATATCGCAAACATCGCATATAGTTGGCCGATCCTTAAAAGAATGTCATAACAAAACCAATTAATTAAAATAAATAATTTTAAAAAAAAGTCTCAAGCTCCTATCATCAAAAATACCAATTTTGATATTTTTACCAAATATCGATCGATCGTAGTGCTTTCAAAGGAAAGAAGGGTGTGGGCAAAGTTTCAAGTCGAGAGCTTCAAAACTGAGAGTAGTTAGCGTTGAAACAGACAGACGCACGTGCTTATATCAACTTAGGAGGTAGTCCTAGTCAAGAATATATATACTTTATGGGGTCGGAGATATCTCCTTCACGGCCTTGGACACTTATGGCCAAATTTTTTTTATGCAAATAGGTACATAATTACCAACAGCATTTGCTCCCAAAATATTTAAAATTTATTGCATCTATTTACTAAGACATCGGCCTAACAAGCAACAAACGTCTATCTTAGTGGCCGGGAAAATAATGCGAAAAAGCCCTCTCCCGTAAAATTGATTTTTGGCGCTTACGTTATTTTTGCAAATAGAGCTCGATATACTTGTTAAAAAAAAAGGACATTTGGATGAAATTTGTTTTTTAGATTACAATAAACTTTAGAAATAGTTTGGCAGAAATTGTCGCTACAAAGATTTGCAATTGATGGGGGCTAAGCAACAATTTGGAACAAGCTTTAACTACGTGGGCATTAAAGACCCTCTCTACCAAATCCTATAGCTCTATCTCTGTCAGTCTCTGAGATCTGTTCATACGGACAGACGGACGGGCGGAATGACGGATACGGCTATATCGACTCGGCTGTTGATGCTAATCAATAATATATGGTTTTCTCTATGTTACATACATTCACACGACTACAATATACTCTTGTACTTTACGAGAACCGGGTTCAAAAATGCAATATTTCATTTAATATGTTTTAATTTGAATGGAAATCATAATTTTACTTCTCAAGCTTTTCGCTCAGTCTTTTTGTTCACTCAAAACATCGATGGCTTGGTCATAATTTATCTCCTGTGCAATTCGATTTTCCATCGTTAAAAATGCTAGACTGAATAAGCGTTCCTCGCTCATAGAAGATCGCAAAAAGTTCTTAATTAGTTTTAGTTTGGTAAAAATTTGCTCGCCGTCGGATGAGAGGGGCATACAAATATTATGGAAAGCATTTTGCAAATAATGCGCATACTTCTGTTTTAAGAGAGAGAAACCGTTAGCATTTTCTATACATACCACGAAATAAAATTGGAGCTTGCTCTTTAAAAACATGGCAGTTGCCAAAAATAGCATTTATCAAAAATCTCGAAAAGTAAAATTATTTATATAAAACCCAATGAAAAAAAAAATTATTTGCTAAAGTATAAAAAAAAATTTTCCTTTCAGTATACTTTTTTCCTTTCTATTTAGATTTTTGTTTCTGAAGAAAGAGAATACGGCCATTTTGCATCTATTCTGCATCTAGCTTTCTTTGCGTTAAGATGTTTTACTATGTCGATCATGTCGCCTCTCATTTGCTCAGAGTGCAGAGTGTAGAAGTTACTTCTATCCAAATTTGTGTGTGTGGGGATATTCGGTGCGCTACCACAACTCCTGTGTGGATTTGCCTCTGAGGTTATTAAATTGCACATAAACATTTGGAACTAAAAGCGTCAATGTGATAGCTGCGTCATTGGAAATTATTTGCATTCCAAAATAGATAATCTAAATCACAAGATTCAGGATCTAAAATCCTTTTTACAGAAATTTAAAGCGAAAGTAGATCATGCCCTGGTAAATTCGTCTGAACCCATGGGGCCCCAAGGTCTCTTCGGTTGAGGCGCAAATTTTAGTTCCCCCTTTTATTCCTACCAGGACTGGGAGCAAAAAGTCGATATTGGAAGTGTTGAGAAACGGAATCTATTCTGGCGACGTTGCCAATATTCAAGGTGACTTATATTCATGTTGCTGAAAAGCTGAGCAACATGCATCTTCGACTTAACATATGAATACCAAGTTACCATGACAATGCAGATCAACGCGTCGTCATTTCTTAGTATTAGTTTTTTTCTTTCTTTTCTTTATACGCTTTACGGCAGTGCGTCGCATTTAGTTTTTAAGTCAGTTATTCTTTAGCAGTGAATCCGAGAACACGCAGCTTCTATACAGTCCACTTTAATAAACTATTTTGGGAAAATAAACTACGCATTACATTTCTCATCATAGAAAAGTTTGGTCCTTCAGACCCGGATTGACTGGAAGAATAATTCGCTAGGTATTGCCTTAAATGGAGGAATACAAGTTACTGGGCGGGCCGCCGCAGACTCAAGGGTATGATCACGAGGATCGTGTCCTTAGCTGAGCGTTTACCTGCAACACAATCAAAGGATGAAATCGAAGTTTTGCTGGAACGATTAGATTTTGCATGGAGCGAATTCGAAAAGCTTATAGATGCATTATCCGTTCATGATCAGGTCGATGGGTATGTAGATCCAGACGAGGACAACGCAGAATACAAAGGAAGGTACCTGAGGGCAAGAGAGTTCCTTGTCTCAGCAAAGCGCTCATTGGAGCCACAAACACCATCCACAAGTCAATGCAATGACTCAATGGGCAATGGAGGCGCACTTCTCCAGTTGCTACAACAACAACAACAGATGCTGGAACATATGGCTGTTTCCGATACAGCAAGTAAACCTATTTCAAGCAATGGCGTCATGGACGCAGAACCAATGCACAATGAATTACCGAAAATTCCACGCCACATTGTTTATTCCCTTTTGGAGAAATTTCCGAAGCTACCGGAGACTACAAAGATTGATGTATCAGTCCTACGTAAAGTAACTGATGGAGCAAACGAGATAGTTCGAGCGTTGGACGTGATCGGAGAAAACACACGAGATTGCTGGATCATCCTATTGATTTTGCAAAAAATGGATGCCGAAATACGCCGTAAATGGATCGAGGACAGCCGCGATCTGAAGTCACCAACAACCAACGATTTGTTCAAGTTCCTGGATACTCGCTGTGAGGAATTTTAACTCAGTCAACGCCAAAGCAATTGGGATGGCAAAACTAAGCAGCAGGAAAAGGCAAAAAGACCTATGCATGCCATGTTGGCTGTCGAGAGGGGCACTTACGTTTGCAATGGCAATCAATGGCAAAGGAAAAATCGGTATGTTTCAACTGTTTGCGATCGTGACATTTTACAAGGCAGTGTGAATCCAAATTCAACTGTAGAACATGCCACGGACGACATCATACACTACTACATGTACAACCAGCTGCATCCGCGCAAGGCTTTGCAGCAACTACGAACACTTCGCAGGCTACGGTACAGGACGTACCAACTGGAAGGGAGGATCAGCGTAATCAGGACGCATCTCAAACTCCATCGGTGACAGTGAGTCACATAGCACGAGCACATGGGTCACAATCGGCTGCATACGCACAAGGCCTTGCATAAATTACACATGAACATGGGCGTCGCCAAAGCACGCTACCGACTGCATTGGTATTTGTTCAGAACGCAAATGGAACATATCCAAGCTGCCGGCTACTATGTGACAGTGGTTCTGAGTTGTCAGAATTTCGGAACGTTGCATTAACGCACTTGGACTTGCACGTTCATCATCTCGGATATTGGTATCGGGAATTTCTTCCATCAAGGCTGAGGCAACCAAAGGGTCCACACAGCTGAATCTCAAATCACGATTCACAGACAGCTCACTGAAGATTACTGCACACGTTCTCAGTAAGATCACATCGTCTTTGCAGAGAAACAACATCGAACCATCATCACTCAAGGTGTTCGATGGATTCCTGATGACGGATACCGACTTCGTTTCGGTGGCTCCGATAGACATTCTATTGGGGAGCGACTACGTTTGGACCACGCTAACGGGCAAAAAGATGCATGACAACATGGGCAATCTTATTGCCATATCCTCTATATTTGGATGGGTCATCACATCGGTTGGAGTTAATCCGTCTCCAACAACTACAACGCTATTCTCCACATGCAACATTGATAGTACACTACAACGATTTTGGGAGATAGAAGAGATCGGCAGCTACGCTCACAAGGATCCACACGAAGGCACGTTCGAGAAACATTTTCTCGAGACGCACAAAAGGGACAACGATGGAAAGTATATCGTCGAGCTACCATTCAAGACGGCAAATCCGAAGTTTGCAGACACACTCCAAGGAGCACATTCTCGCTTCATGGCTGTAGAAAAACGGCTACATCGCAATCCGGATCTACGAGAGAAGTACGTTAAATTCATGCAGGAATACCTAAGTTCTGGTCATATGACCGAAGTTAAGGCATTGAGCAACGATTCAGGTAACCTCTTCTATGTGCCCTATCACCCTATAGTTGAACGAAAACTTATACGTATTCGACGGGTCATTCAAGGACGCATTCTCTGAATGACACACTACACGTTGGGACGAGCATTCAGCGCAACCTTTTTGCTGTTTGTCTCCGCTTCAGAATGTATAGATGTGTATTCTCCGCAGACATTGTCAAAATGTTTCGCCAAGTTTGGGTAAGTACCGATCACCAAAACTACCACAAAATCCTATGGAGAGAGCATCCAACTGCACCTTTGAATCACTACCAGCTACGCACTGTAACTTATGGAACGGCCTGTGCACCCTATCTGGCTGTAAGAGTATTGGAGCAACTGGCACAGGATCACAGAGACGAATATCCAACTGCATCGAGAATTCTTCTAGAGCACTTCTACGTCGACGATGTACTCACTGGAGCGAACCGCTAAGATGTAGTAGCTCATCAAATAAGCTTCTAGCAAATAAGAATGAGCTATTACAACTGATGTCACACGCCAAATTGGACCTTGACAAGTGGGTATCCATTTCATCACTAATATGTGAGCCCGGTTCCAGAGACAGTATCAGC